ACTGTTCACTCGGATTTACGTGCCGAGATCGACGTCAAATTAAGAATCGTTTGGATTGTCGGATTTCAGACCGAACAGGAAAAGCAAGTATCTTTTCGTATGACCGATTTGACTCTAAGTTAAATTGTTGAATCGCACGAGAAGAAATAGAACTGTTTTAATAATCGTAATGCTGGTTATAAAGCTCTCGCTCTCCGGTGTTCCAACGCCTTATATACGATGATCTCGGGGCGTTAACCCTTCTGATTTTTGCTAATCGTCTTTAGATTTTACTCTCCCACTCTTTACTGACTAAAATTCCGATCTTTCATTTGCTAATCCGATCAGGCGAGAGGACCAATCATCGACAATCATTCTTTCTGACTCACTCAACATTTGTTTAAGCTTTGTTATCTGCATGTGCAAATTGCTGTTTATTTTCGGTGCCCTAACATTCCTTGCTAGAGATTAGCGGACCGCCTAAATTATCTAAGTTTATATTCGTGAACCAAACATCCGGGCTACTTGTTGAGGAAATGACCAATATTCATTTGAGAGTCGGTGAGAGTGATTAGATAAAAAAATTGCGATACGGACCTGTTTATCTTAGTTTAATAGGTCCTCTGTTCTCTGCTCAAGGATTGTTATTTAAAAATTAATTCTATGGCGCAAATCTTAAAGCTAGTTTATGTCTGGTTCCAAACAGAAGGGGACCGTGGAGTCCAGGACGTAACACCCCTCGCGTTAGACAAATGTTGGGGGTTTACAACATTTGCAAAAAGAAAACTGAGGTTCCCTTCTGTTTGCAATTCGCTTTCTTAAAAAGTAGTAGAGGAAATGTTAATATTCTAGCTTAATTACAGAAAAATTGTTTTGCTTGCATTTTTAAGTTCGGCGATGTATTTTATACACTGCTTTTCCTTACGACAGATACGCGCTAGCAGTAATATTACAGAGTCTCATGCAGTAATATTATTAAGGAAATAAGAGAAAAATGTTAGAGAAGAAATTTTGTCGCACATGATCGTCAATCGTTTACCGGAAGAGGCTTTTTTAGCCTGAGTACGATGTGCTGGTTGTTACTGCTATTTCCCATCCAACTTCCAAAAGTGTCTTATCTGCGTTTATATATCCTTCGACACATCCTCGGCATAGTGAGGCGGGTCGAATTCGTATGATAGTGACGCCACAGCTCGTGCATGCTCGCTGGTTATAGGCCGATGTGTAGTGAATCAAGTGATGAAGAGGAAGATTTATATATGTTTCTTGCTGCTTGGTTGACAGCTTGGAAAAGCACATTTGGCAGATTGTAAAATTATCGTTTCCTCTTTGGTATATAGGTCCCACTGTAGGGAGCGGTGCACTTAGACACCGTTCAATTGGACACGTTGCAAATAGACACAGAATTTTAGACACGGTTTAATTAGACACGGTGCATTTAGACACGCAAGAAAATGCGCACCGTTCATTTAGACACCGTTCAAATGCGCACTGTTCATTTGTACACAGAAATATGCGCACCGTTCAATTAGACACCGTAATAATGCGCACCGTTCACTTAGACACCGTAATAATGCGCACCGTTCACTTAAACACCGTAATAATGCGCACCGTTCACTTAGACACCGTAATAATGCGCACCGTTCAATTGGACACCGTTCACTTGCGCACCGTTTGTTTGTACACAGAAAGATGCGCACCGTTCACTTAGACACCGTAATAATGCGCACCGTAATAATGCACACCGTTCACTTAGACACCGTTTATTTAGACACTGTTTATTTGAACACAAATAGACAATGAAAAGTGAAAATATATGATAGTAGTAACACAGGTTAGGTTAGGTTAGGTTAGATTGATTTCGGGGAGGAGGTGCAGGGGGAGGGGCGGAGCCCCTCCCCCGCCCACACATGTACAATAAAATGTATTGCAAACACAATATTTACTTCTTAAATATCTGTATTAAAAAGTCTCTTTGTGTCCAAATAAAC